CCTCACACTGCTGCTGCCTACCCTAACCAAGCTGTACCCTCACACTGTGAGACAAACAAACCCTTCCTCCCTTGGCATGTTGTCAGAACAGTGACAAAAGTGACCAATCCACTCCCTAACCTCAAACAAATCACTTAACCTAGAAGAGACCCGGGCTGCCATCTACAAGAGGATGACAAGGGTCCTTTTCTCTCTTCTTTAAATTAATTACCACCGGGCGGTGGTGGCGCACGCCTTTAATCCCACCACTTGGGAAGCAGAGCTAGGTAGATCTCTGTGAGTTCGAGGCCAGCCTGGTCTACAGAGCGAGCTCCAGGACAGGCACCAAAGCTACACAGAGAAACCCTTTCTCAAAAAACCAAAAAAAAAAAAAAATTTTTTTTAATTACTTTATGTGTTTTGTCTGCATGTATGTATGTGCACCATGTGTATACATGGTGCCTGCATAGGTCAGAAGTGGGAATAGATCCCCTGGAACTGGAGTTAGGGATGGTTGTGAACCAATATGCGGGTGCTTAGAACCTAACCTGTGTCCTCTGCAAGAGCAGCAAGTGTTCTTAACCACTGAGCCATCTTTCCAGCCTCTAATCCTATGAAAATGGAAGGACCCTTACCTCATAGAGAGCTATAACTACTTTCGGAGCAATGAATGAAACAAGGTTCTCCAAGTGTAGCCCCTGGAGCAGCAAACCCTGCCTGAGAGAGACGAGAACTCCCTAGCCGTACCCCATGTTTCTGAATCAAAAAGCCATGAAAGTCTTCCAGGGTTTTCTAAGACACCACTACAGACCGGGCCACCAGGATAACACAGGCACAGAGCTTAGCCTGGCATCTGGTACACGATCGTCTAGGTCACATCCCGAAAGATGAGAAGGGAAAGGGTATCCCGGCAGAGGGAGCAGAACAGGCCCGGAAGGACAGGTCACAGCAGCGAGACCCACTTAAAAGAGGCTGGGACGGCGCAGACCACGATGTCTTAAATGCCAAGTTCAGACTTTTATGTCATAGACAAAAACATGTTCATTTGTCTGTATGTTTTCGCAAGTTTACCTCCGGTTACTTTTTCCTTGGGAGTTATAACCAGGCCCTGCCCTGAGTTTTGTCTATATAAGCCTGACAACAGGTGCCTGGAGGCCACACAGCTGCAAAGTTTCCAGGTGGTAGTCCTGACCAAATTCCATCTTGGTCAGTATTTAAATTTTTAATAAAAGCTGACCTGGAACTCACAATCCTCCTGCCTCAACTCTCAAGTGCTGGAATTGAAATGTGCACCACCACATCCAGCAGATTACAATTTTAAATCAAGAGACTGAAACCAAAGAGGGGAGTCGACTTGTGCAAGGTCCCACAGTGATACTGTGACAGAACCAGGACTAGAAGCCAGGTCACTGTCCTCTCAGACTGTGGAGGGTGCTTATCCAGCACAGCCCATCCTGCAGGTAGACCAGGGTGGCTGAGGCGGCCAAGCCACATGTTAGAAGCACGGTCACATTTGTGTCTTTCCCCAGTGCCAGAATGTCTTAAATAGTGATAAATCCACCAGCTATGTCCATTTCATTGCATGCAATTTACCGGGCAGCTTTGATTTGATAATTAATATTACACTTCACACAGTTTTATGCATGGACCTGTCTATACAGCTCTAAATCTGTGCGTGCGTGCGTGCGTGCGTGCGTGCGTGCGTGTGTGTGTGTGTGTGTGTGTGTGTGTGTGTGTGTGTTATAGAATAGCTGTGAGGAGTTAAAGCAGCCACAGAGTTGCAGGGGTATTAGGGGAGGGAGGCAGAGGGCAGACAGGACCAGAGAAGTCACTGCCAGTGGGTTAGACAACATACTAACAACACAAGTGGAGAGCCGCTGGGGGCTCACAGAGCCCAGACACAGGCTTGAGCTGTGAGCCAGATAGACAGGCAGGACCAGTCTGGCTGGGTCAGATGAGTAGATGGACAGTGGATGAATGAACGGTAATTCAATAAGGCCACGTCAAATGGTGGAGACTCTGCTGAGCTGAAACCCTGGATAACTGGGAGATCTGTTGGTCTGTGTACACACACACACACACACACACACAGAGCAGGTGGTCACATGACAGGTCTGTGGGGATGTTTGCCGTGGCTGTATCACTTGTCCTTTTTATGGGGTCCAGGTGAGGGTGCTGTGCCCTTTGCTAATCTGGTGTTCTGTGTGTTTTGATGCTGCAGTCTCATACACCAATGAGCCTGGATGGTCCCAGTCCGATTTGATAAGCTAATAGAGGGTGCTTTTCCCTTATAGGACCAAATTGTCTGTTGGTCTCCGCCTCGTGGGCAGTGCTGGACCCGTGGTAGTGTCTATATGCCACTCTGCAGGTGCAGTCCAAATGAAGCCAACTGCCACTTGGTAAAATGGGATCACCCAAGGCGAGGCACAGCCTGAAAGCCACTGTCCCTACTCAAACTTGGAGCAGGGCAGAGCCTGGTCTCCAGACTGCGGAAGAGAGTCAGACCAAAGGGAGTTTGTCACGGTGGGGGCTGAGCCAGCCTACCCTGCTGTGTGGATCGGTTCCAAGCCAGGCACCTGGAGCCCCTCAGCCATGACCAGGAGCCCCACCCACAGGTACAGTGTGGCCTTCACAGCCTCCCCTCTCCCTACACACACCTGAACCTCTCAAGAGCTAAATGGACTCCCTGCTCTAAGAGCTTGAATCCTGGCCTTGCAGCCCGCTTCTTTCTCCTTTGCCAAGATCAGTATCTTTCCTGCTCCTTTATGCCTACAAAGGTTTAAATGAATAACACACTGATGGATAGACTGGACCAGTGAGATGGCTCAGTAGGTAAAGGCACTTGCTGCCACGTCTTCTACGGTCTGAGTTCAATCCCCCAAACCCACATGGTAGAGGGAAGGAGAAAGCCACCTCCTACAAGTTGTCCTCTGGCATCTACACCGATGCCATGGCACACTCTCCCTCACTACCTCCCAAGAAATAAATGTTTTTTAAGTATCTTTAAAAGGGGGCAGTAAACTAAAAGACAGATGCTTTAATCCCTGGTAATCACGAGCAAGTAGATAATGAGTGAATTAATGATACCAGAATCGGACATCCCGAACTCTTCACTACAGACTACATAGGTTCTCTCTTCCTCCAAAGCCCCTTTCCAAAATTAACCCTCCACCCAGAGCTTTCTCAAAGTGTGTCCTGTGAATTATTCGCATCAGTTACCACTTGGGCATTTGTTTAAAACGCAGACTCCTGAGCCCGGATCCCAATCCTGCCCAATCGCCTCCCTTGGGAGGTGGAACCTGGGACTCTGAACACGGACCAAGTTCACCCAGAGGCTTCCTTCCGTCCAGGGCTGAAGTTGGTGTACCCGGTAGGTGGACGCAGAGGGACACCCAGACCCAGGAGTAAACTCCCTTTCCGGCACCCCATTCTTACATGGCCACCCCCACGGGGAGGACTGGAGGCGGAGGTCTGCAGGGCGGGGACCCGGGCTGCCTTGACAGGGCGGGGCCACACAGGGCGGGGTGGCTCTGGACCGAGCGGGACCGGCCCGAGGGGCTGCGTGCCGAGACCGGGGGATAACGGAGTACCCAGCAGCTGGAGTGGCGGGGACTTGGAGCCTTCACGCGTCAAGGTAAACTTGCCTGTCCGGGCGGAGTTCTCTGGCCGCCTGCATACAGTGTGGTCCGAGGACTGGGAGCCTCGAACCCGCGTCCGGGAGGGTGCGGGTGGGCAGACCTGGGGCCTCCAAGGGTAGGGAAGCCTGGCACAGGGGACGCTATCACAACGCCCGAGCGCCCCAGGACTTGGGATTCACATCCAGGACGGCAAGTTGGGAAAGTTCCAGCCCAGACTCCCCGAAAGGGCACTTGAGTCCCGAGCCCGGTAGGGCTCCCCTTCCTGCACCTTGTTCACCAAACCAGTTGCTGGGTCCCTCGCGGCTCCTGTCCCCCAACAAAAGCTGGAGGCCATGGCGCCAGCGGCTCCTGAATTTTTCACGCAGGGGCGGGCCGGGCACGCCGTTCCCATGGCACCAGGGCACTCGGGTTACAGCCAGAGAGATCCCCGGAGCCCCTCGCTTGTGGGGCACCAACGCGCCCCGCCCTTCCTCTTCAAACTCTGCCCGGGGGTATCAGGCAGCCGGAATAAACTTCCCAGAGGCCCCAGTCCTCCTCAGCATCCCCCCAACCCTAGACAAGTGAAGGAGACCAATGGGGAAGGGGGGTGGGGCGGTCAGATGCTCTCTGTAAGGAGGGTCTCAAATCCTCAAGCGGAGGGACCAGTCCCGGTAGGCAGCATGTCCTATCGCTGCTTTAGATGTCCCAGCTTGCTGCAGCCTCTCTGCCTGTCTGTGTCATGGGGAAAGGGTCATCCTTGGAATTTGGGAATCTGCTTCTGGGTGTGTACATCTGTGTGTGTTCACAGCCTGTGCGCTCGCCCCTTCTAGGCGGGACCC